TTAAAGCGTTGACCACGAAATCGAGGTTTTTTCCAACCCACGGTTTGTTAGGAATCGTACGATGATTCTTCGCGAATGACGTGTATTTTTGTTAAATTTTACGATATCGCTGAAGGGGGATCGCTCTTGACCCCCCTCCTCCCATTTATTGTTAATTTGGTTTCTCCACGCAAGAAGAAGAATTTCGCCGAGCGTACGGAAGCAACGGCAACGTTGATTATACGCGTTAACGTTTGTCGGGTGAAATAACAATCGGTTGTTCTCGATTCCTTTGTGAGACGCGTTCCTAAGTGACGCTACGCCACTTTGAACCGTTTGTCGGGCTCGACGGAAACGGGCGGCAGAAGGAGGTGGAGCGGTTGGATGGATGAGGCAAACGGATGATATCACTGGCGTCTAATTAACGTTGTTGTAAATATATCCAGTGTCTCGTGACAAATCGATTATGTTTACGGTTCGTTCACATCGAATAAATTAACACAAGGGACCCTCGAATCTCGGAATAAATTACGAATTATCTCTCGTTCCCGCTACTGTTAAAAAACGATACCGTACGTTTTTCTTCTCACTTTTTTCTTCCTCCTCCTCTTCGAGAAATTCGATCAGAAAATTCGTTGAATGAACTTCGTTCGACGTCGAAGAAGCTGCTCTTTTTTTCTCGCGGACAGATATCGTCGAGGAGAAAAAAAATATATATTCTCGCCGAGAAGAGGAAGGATGAAAAGCGTAGATCAAGAAGGAAATGGAAGGTGAAAGATCCGTTCGAGACGTTGCATCTTGATGTTATTAAACGATCTTTCTTGTAAACGATCCTTCCATCTTTGTAATATTTCTCGAATTTTTTTTTTTTTTTTTTAACTCTTCTTGCTGCTCTCCTCCTGGGCTGTTTTTCACTCCTTTCTTTACTTCTCGCGAGCTCATCTCTTGAAAACATGCCTACACTTTGCTTTCTCTTGCGCGATTTCTTTTTTTTTTTTTTTTTGAAATCGTAAATCGTGCGGCTTCTTCTTCTTCTTTTTTTTAATTTTTCGCGCTAAAGCTTGCTAAGAATTTCCCCCCTTTTTTCTTCGTCCCGCTTCGTGGAAGTTACGTTATTGAAATCACTCGAAGTGCGCGACTGGAAATCCGAGGTTGCACATGGCGTCTCTGATAACTTTCGTTCCGCAATAAGAGTTTTGTCATAATGTATTTTTATCCGGCAATCGCTTCTATCTTTCTCTTTTTTCTTCGAAACCCGTTCACGTAATATCTTTTTTTTTTTTTCTCTCTCCTTTTCACAACGTTTACTCTTTACTCACGTACAAAGATAGAGGAAACGATGAGCGACGATTTCGATCGTGTATATGTTTTTTAAACAAACATCCGTCCGTTTCCCAATCTTTCTTCTTCGAAACTTGTAAAGAAATTCATTCGCTCGAAGAAGGAAAGAGCAGAAATTACACGTAACAATTATAATAGACTCGTGACCGCGTTCACAGTCTCGCACCTTTTCGCTCCCCCAAAATATAATTTCCTAATCGCCTCGAATCGATCTATTTAAAACTCTCTCCGCCGTCTTCTTCCGTTCATCTCTGTCAAACTATTTATATCCCCGGCCTATCAATTCCAATTAAATCTCGAACACGAACGCTCATCCGTGACTCATCGACGAGTCGTTACTCCTAAACCGCATCATCGATCGCGATTCCACTTCGCGTCACCTCCTCTCGGCCGATCGCAACGTACAACTCCCGGATAACCGGAGGAAAATTTTCCTCCACGCGTTGCATTTCCCGCATATTTCCCCCGGCCGAATTTCGCCCAATAATTTTCGGCCCGGCTCGAAGCATGGAAGGAAGCATCGGCGCTCTCCTCCTCGAACGGATTCCAATTAAAACGAGGCAGGGGTATGCACGGTTTCGGTCAGGAAGGGGTCGGTTCAGGGGTCGTCCGAGTGCTTTCATAACTGTTAATAGGAAACAATTGCCGTCTCGATTAAATTCCGCTCAACTATTGCGGAGCCGTCATCGCGAGAGGAAGCGGGAGGTTTTCGGCCTTGCAGCCTCTCTCGAGGTGACTGCCCTTTTCCTCCTCCTCCTTTCTCCCGCTTCCTAGTTTTAACCACCCCTTGTGTACGATTCCCAGCAGCGACGATTTGTCGCGACCGGGATCCCCCGATTCCGGAAGCCGAAACGGGGTCACGGTTCTGAATAGCGGGTTGCTTGGAATATCGAGCGACCTCGATGCGAACCGAATTCGAGGAAAATACTTAATAACGGCTCGACGAGATTCGAGAGGGCAACGAATTTATCGGGATAAATAACCTCGACCGTGGATCGACGCTGGATTTTCCCTTCTCTTTTTTTTACGAACCAACCGCTCGAGCTTCCGTTCCCAAATTGTTGTTGCGCGGACGTTGTAACGGTCCATCAAAGGCATTCCACGGGAGGGAAGATCGATCGTGTTTCCGTCTCGGGGAAATAATCGGGGAAATGGAGAAGCGTGCCATCTTTTTGTTTTATTATATTCTTTGGTAATGAAGGTTTTAGAGATCCACGGAGTTGATCGATAGATTGACACGATCTACTTTCACCGGCGCGTTGTTTACTCGACGGTTAATTGTCGTCGGTACACGGAGGGCTCGAGTCGATTATTACAGTCGGCTGGTTTACGCCGGTTTATTAGTCGATGGTTATCGGCTAAGTAATACACCCAGTTGCCGTTGCATTGTCACCAACCTGTGCTGCAAACTGTTTACCACCCTCCGGTGTACAATTAATCGTGAGTCACAATGGCTCGTTACAGGCTGATTAACCGTGGTCGATTGATAAGAATCAATCCATTTCACGGGATGATGTATCGTTCGTTCGATTAAATTCAATACTTTGATGCTTCGTTGACTCTTCAATTTTTTTTTTTTTCTTTTCTTTTTTTTTTTTTACCGACTTTGTTCCATCCAAGGTTATGGATGTCTTGTAGGTATGAAAAGGGGAGGGAACAATTGTATAAATGTTTTCGTGCGAGTTTAGCTTAGGTGAACGAAAGGATATATATTAAAGATACATTAAAGAACTTGGATTATTAATCGCAAAGATGGAAATTGGGAATTAAACTCGAACGATTGGAGAGAAATGTAAGGAATATCTTTCCTCATTCGTTCGAGCTACTATGTAGTAGAGAAAATTTGTATCTTTTTAATCTTCTAATCAATTGCTGCTATTATCGATACGGATAGCTTCGTAGGGAATCGCTCATCTTGCATACGAACGAAATCTAATCAAAGTTTCTCGAAGGCCGCGTTAAAAATATTTATATCGATGTACGAAAATATCAACTAATTCTATCTTCGAGTCACGGAAGCATTATCATCCTCCGAAAATAAAACTTTCGCCACGATCCGTCTACTTGAAATTAAACGGGACGGGATATTTACCGAGAATTACAAAAGTTGGCAAAGCATCTCAACCGATCAACACCAACATGACCTTTCATTATTCTTCGTTATCGCTCTATTCTCTGAAAATAGTTTCTCGAAGATTTTGGTCTGGATTTTCGTGCGCATTCGAGCGAGCATTTCTCTCGTTTCGATAGATCGAAACGGGCGCAACACCGTTCTTTGGAACGTTCTTGGGAAATTTTCTGGCAGCCGAAATGGGTCAGTGTGTCTAGCGTGATGTCGAGGTCGATCCTCGCTCGTTGCAGACCGTCTATCCGCAGTGGGTTAAAATCGCGCCGCATATAGACGCCACGTGAAATAATCGATGCCTGTATGTGTACACACATATATATATATATATATATATACACCCGTTTTGCCATCCGTCTCGTGTCACTTGCCTCGACTCGGAACTCGGTTTTATCGCTCGAATGCCGAGATCGTGGCAGAGAAGATCCAAAGATCATCCACCGATCGTTTCTTTAGCGCTATTAGCGAGAAAAAGTGAGATCGACTAAATATGATTAAACTGGATGAGAGATAGCAGATAGAGAGAAGTTTAATCCCAAGATACGATCGATATAATGGACGCGAGTCGTATCGAAGAGGGTTCTCGAAGTTGAACGCAAAGTTGAAGCGCGCGGTTTTAATTTGGAAAAAAAAAAGTTGTCGGGCGGGCAGGTGGGGATAAATATCGACGTCGGGATAAATCGGCCGGATTATATCCATTCATCGGATCGGAGGGAATCCGTGTGTTTCGCTCAGCCGTCGCGCTCCAGCAACCCACATTTATCTCGTGCCAAGCCTGCGCCTTCGTATTTGCGGGCTTCGCACAGGGGCCGATGGATGGCCATCGCGGATCCCACCAGTGTTCGCGCACAAATTTTTCCCACTTTTTCGTTTCCTATCCCGCGATCGATCCCCCCTTCTTACGTTGTTTTCCCACAACGAAACGTCGTTGTCTCTCCTCGAGTCGGCGTCGAGGGAGAGAGAAGCGTCGAAGATCGGGAGAATCTAAAAAAAAAGTTTTGGCAAAGATTTCGAAGACCAGAGAGAGAGAGAGAGAGAGAGAGAGAGAAGAGGAAGAAGAAGAAGAGAGGATTTCCGTTCAATTAGAGCGCAGCGTCAATACTCGAATATACGCGTCATCGAGGGCGGGCGAAAAGAGTGGTTCGGACGTCATCGTTGGATCTCAGGGGCGTGACGAGGGCGCCGCGCGCCACGAATCTCGTTCCTAGAATTTCGACGGTATCCGGTTCGCACCGGTTCCCGCTGGCTCGCTTCCGATCTCGTCGACGCACACACGCGGTGTCCAACGTCCGCCGTCCCTTTTCGACTCGCCGCCTCGCTCTCTGCCTCTATCCCACGGGGTTGAAAAAGAGGGGACGACGTGGCGTCGTTGCGTAAGCGTCTGGACGCCGAGGCACCGTTGCGTCAGTCGTTCGAAAGCTACTAAGCATCGCGGTCCACACGAAAAGATCCCCCGACGCACGGAGAGAGAGAAAATACCGGCTCGCTCCTCAACGCACCCAGTGAGTTTCTCAACCGTGGGGGGATTAAAACCTCTCTCTCTCTCTCTCTCTCTCTCTCGAGAAAGAGAGATTAATCTCTCTCGAGAAAGCTCGGCTCGGGAGAGGGTTTTCGCTCTTTCCCCTCCCCTCGCCGAGCCGCGCTGGGCATCCTCTCGCGTTCTCGAGGTCGCGTCGCGTTCCCGCGGAATTTCGAGTGTCGCGACCTTGGTGGTGGAAAATTCAAGGCCAATGGCGGAAGCAACCTCGACAATAGGGACGCGGTCGCGGCCGCGCAGTCGCGCGGCGAGATGGAACGTTATTATGCGGGACGAGCATGGATCCGCTTTTCGACTTTCCGCTTCCCGGCCACCCCTCTCGATTCGATCTCGTTTAATAATCGAGATGGAACGAGCGCCTACGGTTCTACGTAGGAGGCGAGACGAGTAGTGGAGGGAGTGTTGGAAAACACGTGCGACGTAGCTGCTTCCCGCGGTGAAAAATTTAACGGTTGATGTTTGTTGGAGCAAAGTTAGTTCGAGACGTAACGATAATCGCGAGCAAAGGGGGAGGTTGTACGAAAAAACGTAACGATAAATGTTATTATCCCAGCATTCTCGATAACCTTATTCAAAGTGAAGAATCTTGCGAAGAAATTTTCAACTTGTTCTCGATACGGGTTAACGGCCAAACTCTGCCTTCCTCCCGTCCCGACTGCGGCATCGGACGCGGCCGTGGCTGGTCCCCTTTAAGGTGGCGCTTTTCGTGCTTGAATTTTTTCCACGACCCGCTTCGAACCATCGCCGCGTTTTTTGCGCAAAGCGGTGACGAAGTAAAACGAGTATTCCTCAACGAGTTCTCGTTCACCTTCCAAGCGGAGGAAAGAGACGACTCAACTTCGATCGAGTATCGTTATCTTTGGCGTTGCGCAAACTTCGTGGTCAATTTTCCACGAAGGTACGGAGGAAAACCTCCGCGAATTTCCTCGTACGCCGAACGTCCTTCTCATCGGTCATCCGTATATTTTCCTCGTTTCGTCTAACGCATTTTTAATCAAATTTCGAGATCCAAGAGCGAAGAAGAAATACGGCTGTCGGGGAATGATTTGAAAAAGATTGCAACACAATATTCTTGCTACAGGCCAACGCGTTTTCCCCCCCCTCCGCACACGTTCCCGGAACGATATATCTCCATCGATTCGAGGAAAACTCGATCCGAAATCACGAGATATCCAACATTTTCCATTCGTCATTTAACCCGGTTGTCCGTTTGTTATTCTTCGACCAATTATACGCGAATCGATTTATAATTGGCCAAGCTGGTTTTATCAACGCCTTATCGTAACCTGAAAAATATATATCTTATATTTATTAATCGGATCTTCGAATCGACGTATCCAAGTTTTTCTCCCCCCTCGAGATATTCGTCCCGAAATTCGAAATTCCGAAAAACGTCGGAGAAACGAAACGTTCGTAACAAAGTTTTCTAATCAATAGCAAATAATTAATTGTACAAGCGAGCGTAATTCTAATCACCGTTCAGCCCGATCGGATGTTTACGACCGAGAACGAGGAAACCCAGCCGCATGTAAACCCCGAGAGCCGGCGTTATCTCGAGCGTATAAAAGAGAGACTCTTTCGACAGGTGGCTTCAGTGATTCGTACTCGCGCGAGGCCGATCGGTGCCGTCATTCTCATTCTCGCTTCCAACGTCGCGAATCGTGCGTGCACCACCACCACCACCACCACCACCCTCCAAACGTCTTTCGCCCTCCACCCCTTCTGGAACAAATCTTCGATTCTTCGATTCTTTGGATCACGATTCGCGATACGTGCACGTACGTGGGACGCGCGTGTGCATTTTCAACCCGCATAGTGAAGCCTAGTGAAGTTGCGAGGGACACTTATGAAGGGGTCCGTCAACGCACCGAGGCCTATCGTTGATCAGAACAGATACATTTGGGATAACGATTGGAAGCAGTAGAGCTTGGACAAGGTACGTGACACTGCTATTCTCGCGTCGACGATTTCCTTGATCTTTTAATCGGGAGAATTATATTTAGCTCTCTTTTTTTTAGCAGAGAGAGAGATTCGATTTTTCATTTTCTCGAAATGTGGATAGATAGATAGGATTCGGATAGATTCGAAGGTAATACGTAGGTGAAAAGGGAGGAGGAGAAAGAGAAAAAATAATAAGAGAATAAAATTTGTCGACTCGAAAAATTTTCGAGTAGTAAGTGAAATTGATCAATTTTCGATTAGATATAAGTGGACACTATCGATAAAAGGTTGTTCCGAACGCGCGAAAGTAAACACAAAATATAGAATACAATTTTATCGTTGTTTAGAAAATCGAGATTGCGGACGTTATTATTACCGCGAAGAAAGGTAATTTTTTTTTTTTTTTTTTCCTCTCCATTCTCGCGTAGATAGAACAACCTCCCTTGTCGATAATCCATTCGATATCCAATTAACCAACCAGCCAATTTTTCCCATTTTCTTCCCAAGAAATTATAATAATATCTTTGCCCTATATATTATATTATTCCGATAAGCTATTCCGTGTACAATATAGGCGATCGTTCGAAGAGCATCGTTATACGTTTTATTTTTACAACGGTAGAGAGATATGGGATGGATGCGATCTCCAGAAATTAGGAGATTAGAACGTTTCGACGGGACGGGATAATGCGTTTCCTTGGCGCGTTTCACAATGATTAATCACCGATGGTGTGGTAGACGCTTGCAAGCATCTGGAATACCAATCGAAATCGATTCGTGCGAAGAGTATGGAACGCGTGGTTGTATCGAGTAGTGGACGCAACAGGAATCCGGATTGATCTCGACCTATATATCGCGTATATGATCCGTGTTTCCTTTGCGACCGTCCCACCTTCGTCGCGCACGATATCTCAGCGTAACGTTCCTTCCTTCCTTCCTTCCTTCGTCGATTCTCGAGTCGAGGGAAGAGGAGTAAAAAATACTCGTTTCTCTGGCGAGACGAAAAAGTCGACGAACCCGAGCGAGGGGTAAACGACCATGGAAAGGGAGCACGAGGAAGAGGATGAAGCCTCTCTCGTCGACGTAATCCTATTTAAAATTCGATCGAATCGATGGGACCGTCCCTCGTCGATGCTTTCGTGACCTTTCGTTCCGCGACTTGTTGCCGCGTAAAATGGCGCGTGTCATTCCGCGGGGGGAACACGTGTGCATCATAATCGAGTCTCGAGTTCTCGATTCGCCGGCTTTTCCGCGCCGATTCTTTCCCCGTACGAGTCCGAATCCGTATTTTTCCAGACGAGATTATTATCCTCTGTTCGAATCGAGAACAATTTTCGATTCGAAACCGAATAAATGATAAATGATTTATCATTATTCGCGATCGTTCGCGTATTATCAATATCAGGTTTTCTTCGTTTTCTTTTCTTTCTTTTTTTTNTTTTTTTTTTTTTTTTTTCCATCGAAACGTTTCGATGAATCGAAGTTTGAAAAATTCAAGCGACGCTCTCGGATGGCGGCCAGGCCTCTATAGCTCTCGGTTGCTTTCAAAATAATCTTGGTACCGTTTATCAAAGCTCGGAAACTGGCACAAGGATAGAGAGTTCTAGTAGGATAGAGTCGTGCACGTTGACCTACATGGATCGAGAAGTCGGACCATTCCACCAATTTTTCCCCCTGTTTCCTGCATTTCTATTAATCTTTGCTCTCCGCGATATTATTTTCTGTGTATTCACGTGGCACGATTCGGGGAGAAATCTATGAAACAAGAAGGGGAAATTGAGACGAACGAAGCTTAACGCGCGGTTTCAAATCGAATCTGAAAATAGTTCAGAGAACAGAGGTTCGAGATCGATAATAATTCTCGCGTAGCACGCGAACGAACACCGGTCGGTAATAATTTATTCCAAATACGAAAATAAGCAAAAAGACGCGAAATAAATTCTCTACGGTTTAAAATTAATTTCGAGAAGATCGAATTTAAAAATTCATCGATCGCGTACGATCCCTCGATTGCGTTCGATTTGACGCAATAGGAGCGATCGTTTATTGATGTCCAATCAAAATTTAGCCGATTTCAGCCGTTCAAACGCTCGATTCACTCGGAAACGAAAAGCTTCGCTCCAACGAATTTTATTTTTCTCCGATATTTTTCTCTCATTTCGTGACGAAGAAGAAGAAGAAGAAGAAGAATCCGTTTGACCTCATTTGTATCATGAATTACAGACCGCGCTATTCCTCTTCTGTTCCATCGACGAGAATGAAGTCTAACCAGGTGTGTTGCTTCGACGTTATTATCGCACTCGAAATAAACTTTGCCGATCCGTTATTAGTTTTATGGAGGTAAATTGGTCGAATGCCAAATAGTAGTCCCTCTCTCTACATTTATACCGGATGGAAACACTGTTTCATTTCGTGATAGAAGACACGACGCGACAGTTTTCGACGAGTGCCGCGTTTAAAATTTCGGATAAGATTTCATCACCCATGGAAAATATATATATATATATATCTTCTCGAGAAGATAGAATCAACGAAATATCGAGGCGCAATCGGAAATATTTCCCAATCTTTCTTTCCCCCCATCTTTTTTCCATCCATGATCTTTTTCTTTTTATTTTTTTTTCTTCACGACGAATGGCGCCCAAACGAAATTATTTCTCCTCCCGCCGAGAAACCACCGCTTCTCTTTTTCCTCGTTCTTTTATTTATTTTGGTTTTGGTAAAAATCGAACGAGAGGGATCAAGATTCTATCGAGTCGCATTATCGAATGAAAATAAGAATAAAATTTATCTGTCGAGTGGACTACTACTACTAATACTACTACTACTACTCTTCGCGCGAGTCACGTGTCCTTTTCTTTTTCTTTTTTTAATCGAATCGAATTATTACGTAACGCGAGCTTGGAATTTTTCGAACTTCACGGCAGATTTCGGACACACTTGTAATTAGGCATGTGGGAAATCGGCGACTGCTTATGTAATATGTAGTATCGCAGCCAGACTTTTCATCGGTTCTTATCGTAACCGTAATATACAATAGATTATGAGATCGTTCGATTGTATAATTGGCGCCGTTTCTTTTGTCCCCATTTACTATTTTTTTTTTTTTTTTTTCATTTCCAATAGTCAATATCAATTTTCGATAAATAATTGTTGTTCGTTCCATCGTACAGACTTTATTTATTTATTTATTTATTTATTTATTTATTTATACATAAATCGTTTGATATCAAATGTATATATATATATATATATATATATTTATATTTCATGGCATAAAATTATAAATATCAAGTTCATCTTATCGAGAAAAAATATCATCGAATTTGAACGGAATCGCATCGCGTGTAACGTTTTTGTCTTTCGAAATATGCCGAGAAATTCCCGTTGATGTGTGGATGCAATTGTTTTTAATAATTGGCCGTTTTATCGCAGTTCCACGAAGCTGTTCCACCACCTATCTTTGACACGATCGTGGAAAATCTGCTGACGTTCTCTCGGATACACAAACACTTTCGTGTTTGTCAATACAAACAACGAACCCGCGACAGTCTCGCCGATGATAACGAGTCAATCTTCTCCGTCGTCGTCTTTCGATTATTCGAAATCGAACCGAAAGACGATCTTGGTTTCGTCATCCAATCGACTCGTCCAACTTCGATCGATGGCAAGGAAAAAAGAAAAGAAAAGGAAAGAAAATCGTTGTTAAAAATAAAACAATCGGTTCAAAGATTCAAGAGATCACTTTTACACGCGTCAAGTATTACATCGAATCTATTTCTGGTTCCCATTAATCCGTCTAGCTATCGTTCCAAAGTTCCAAAGTGTACTTTACGATTACCGGCGACATTACCAACCGAGTTGTATATCCTCCTGGTATTCGAGGCAAAGGCAAACACACGCACGTCCTCTTCTTCCGTGGTATCACGGGTAAACGAAGATGATTCGCAGTTATCGTGGAAGATGTTCCGCGCGATTGCATCATCGATCGTCGCAATCGCTAAATCATCTCGAACGCGAAGCCCGCAACCTGTCTTCTGTTCGCTCTTGTTTGACGAGAGATTTACCATGGATCTATGGAGAAATCGAGCCCCCTCCCCTCTCCCTTTGTAGTCAAGATTCGAGCGGGATCGTGTATCACGCCCCATGGACCCCCCTCTGGCAAATGCGAACAATTCTGATCAATTCTTCCAGATTCTTCCAGAACGCGATATCAATCGAGATTACTCGCGTTATAAACGCATCTCGCGCGAAAATCGGCGAGTTTAAGCCAGAGTCTAAGCGAAGGGTGATGGAAACGAGAATGAAACGAAAATGAAAGTGGATTTACTTCGTTCACAAATTTTTTTTAACAATAATTATTGAGTCACTCCTCGAGAGGGAGTCGATCATTAATATCTTATAGCTGGATAATGGAATTACCGTTTAATGGAATCGTTGACACAGGATGAGTCGAAGATGAAGGGGTGGCAAAGGAAGACAGAGAGAGAGAGAGAGAATCGTTCCTTTTTACCTCGATGCATTGTTTACGAGCTGAGAGAGAGAAAGAGAGAGGAGTGGGTATGGCCATGTATTATAGAGTGTTTGGAATTAGCAATTGGATTTTCGAGGCGTACACGAGATGTGTACGTACACGGTGTACGTAGCGCGGTGGCAGCGTGGAATCGAAGAACAAAGGAAGAGAAAATTCGATTGGGGGTGATGAAGGAAGGGGCGGGGAGCTCGTTACCATCGGCGGCGAAATTGAGGCGGCGGGGGCCGGGCGATCGGAGGAGAGGCGAGAAACGAGCGGAGATTTTCGCGGCGACGTTCCGTGTTGATTCGCGTAACAGCGTTAAACTCGAAACTCCCTTAACTGGATTGGACGGTCGACGAGCCGCGGATAGTTAGCGGCAGCTGTTGCGCAAAGGATTGCCAACCTCCCCTGTCTGTTGACAAGATCCCCGCCCGCTTTAATCTCCTTTGTTACACGAATTCCCCTCCGCATCCATTTTA